AAAATTATTGGACTAGAACCATAAAGGAAATAGTTGGCTGTGCTCAGTCACAACTTCATGTTTATTTGCTTTTTTCTGAGGAATGAAGTTTTTCTTTTCAGACACGAGCAACAATCAGAGGAAAACAAAAAAAAGTTTCTGATCATTTTCAGAGCTTTCTGTGGGTGTCGTATTGGTTGTGTTGTCTTTGGGAATGTTCTCCTGACTTGGTGACCACCATTTCTCAGAACTATGACACTGCAGGAGAGGTCAGAATACACCAAAGGGGTAAACAGATGGGAAACGCTCAAAGGAGAGCCCAGGCACACCTTTTCTTAGATCCGACCATAGGCCATGAACCTGACCTGCAGCACTGCAGCTATTCCAACAGTGAGCAGAGATTGCCAGCTGGGCTGAACTGCGTTGAAAGATATTGTATAAATTGCTGCCATTTGAAAAGATGGAGGCAACATGCTTTTCTCTCAGCTCATTTATTTTACATCTTTTAGAAAGAAACATGCAGTAGTATAAAAACTTAGCCTATGCTTAAGCCAAAAGTATCCTGGTATCTTGACAGTGGCAAGTAGCAGGTACTGAGGGAAGCATGTGGTAACACTTCCCCATAAACTTTTCCAGCCTCCATTAATTTGCAAGATTATATGAAGCAGCATAAATAAAATCTAGTTCTAAAATAATATAGCTCCAAAAATATGATCCAAAATCAGTAATGCTGTGTACTTTTGATTACTTTTTAATTTAAGAGATGTGATATATTTGAGCCTGAATATACTTAATGAGATATTTCTAAAATAATATCAGAAATGCTGGAAATAAAAGAATTAACTTTTAAAAAATGAAATTCAAAGTTATTCAAACAATAGAAGCCAGCCATTTGGCTATGTAAGCGCTATAAATTCCTGCTCTCAGAAATCATTAACTAAATTCTGAACTATGGAGAGAGATAGTATGGCCATCCTCATCTGTTCACGGATATTTACCCATCCAGACTAAAATCACTACCCAAAGTCCATCCAAAGTTCAGTAAAATGCTGGGCAGCTTCCCTCAAATAATTTTGGAATGGAAAACAAAATCCCTGAAGTGGAGAAGAGTAAACCCTGATAGATACTTGATAGGTACTGTAGTGTCAACAAGGGGATTCATTTTCTCCTATGCCAAGAATGAGAATAGAAACACAGAAATAGCAGAAAAAAACTGCAAGGAAAGCATTAAAAATGGTCAGGAACAAATAAGCCAAACTTAACGAGCTTTGCAGCATGCCTTAAAGAACTGGTGTGCTAACTTTCATCCAAGAATATTGAAAGAATTAGACAATCATCCCAATGAATCATTTTTGCTGATTTTTACCAAATGCCACAGTGCTGGGGAATTCCAAAGGGCTGGGAAGATGCTACTGTTGTGCCAGTGTTCAGAAGCGGTCTCATGGAGCATCTTTGGAACAGATAGGTGGTTTGCCTGAAGTCTGTTCCACAGAAAATTATGAAAAGGGTGTAATGAGAAAGAATTTAATATGGTGACTAAAGGTCAGACAACATCATTACGTAGAAAATAATTGTCACCAGGTGTCTGCCTTTTCTGACATTGTCAGTTTGCTTGGTGAGAGAACTAAGTGGACATACATGTGTTTTGGCATTTGTGATACATTTGATGTAGCCCTCTACTGCGGCTATATAAATATGTAGGGCTATACATGATGAGTGTGATCTGCTGCTGCATAAGCAGAGGAGTATCATATAAGATAGTATTAATCACTGTCTGCAAAATTAGAGAGCTCTTCCCAAACTGAAAAATATTCAAAGCAGAACTTCAAGAATGACCCGAGGTTTGAAAAACTCATAAGGAGTAAATGCAGAAGCTGTGTCTACCAAAAAGAAGATTAACACGTGGTTTCATCTGTCTAAATTGTTTCTACAAGACATATTTAATAACTGAGAAGTTGTGATCTAAAAGGAAAAGAAGCAGAATATAAAACAAGGGTTGGAATCTGAAACAAAAAAAAAAGAAAAGAGGAAGAAGTTACATGTCAGTTTAACAGTGCAGGTAACTATCACTCAGAACAGCTCAGGAACATGGCTCAGCATCCCTTGCTTACAGCTGTCTGTCGGCTTAGGATATTCCTCTAAAAGGTGTTGGAGCTGGGGCCATGCAGAGGGGTCAGGCTCTTAGGGTGGTATATTGTGGGTGGCCAGATGATCCAAATGGAGCTTACAGTCAGAATGACAACAGTTTACTCTGAAAAAATCTTCTCTTGAAGACAGTTTGGCAGAAAACCTGGCCACAAAAGGAAACAGGGAAAAAGTTACATGGAAATGTTTTAGCAATCAGAGGCTAGCTCAAATACAGCCCAACGCAGTTCAGTCTCACTAAAACCATCCTGAATGTCAGTGAGACATGTAGCATGTAAATGTATAGGTGTGTCTCTTTGCTTAGGTATTTCTTTCTAAATATATTAGATATACATTAGAAGTACCCTAAAAATGTCTTTAAAGTTATGACAGTCCATTTTCAAAAAATGCCAAACAAAGGTTACCACAGAAAGTCATGATGAAGCTCTGAAGCTGGGAAAAGTATTACACATTGAAACAAAACTTTAAAGCTGCATAGTGTCCCAATTAAATTGCCGCAGTCCTGCATTTGGAATAGGGAGGAGCATGCTTGGTAATTGCCAGAGTCCTTCTCCAGGAGCTCTTAAACAGGTCTGATTTTCTCAACTAGCCCATTTTATGAAGAGTATTCCAGTTCAAACAGGTGGTATGAACATGCAGTGTGTTTGGCAGTTTGCACTGCAACAATTATGAAAATTGCTGCAACACAGCCACTCTTAAGAAGGGATGGTGACCTGACAGAGCACCCGCTTGAGTCTTTAGACATGTGGGTTTAGTCCTCTGCTCTTTATCAAGCTTTCCATATGACACTGAAAGCAGTAACTTACAGCTGCTTGCAAGTGAAAACCTCAATACCTGTTCCTACTTCTTTTCCAGTAAAGTTTTGCAAACTCCTCACTTTCTGGTTCACGCCAGGCTCATGTCCAGACTCATGTCCAGTCGTGTCATTAAAATAACAGAGCAAAAGGGTGCTGTGGGGTTAAAGCAATCTTTAGTGTTTCCAAAAAATTGTATCATAAACTAAGATCCACATTAGATAGGTCCTGAGCCTCTACTAGTCAGTAATCCACAAATGGCATTTACTTTCAGGGACCCAATCTGTGCCTAACCTAGCACACACCTGCTTGATCCAGCAACAACCCAAAAGTCATTGCCATTTTTGTTCAGAATGAAAGCTGAAGCTGGAGAAGCCCCTCACACATCTGAAAAAAAATAGACTTAACCTGATGAGTGCCTTACCTTGGAGCAAGCGTGAGCCAGGTTTGGTTCACTCATCTGCCTGCAGGAATTCAGATGCACGTGCCCAATTCTCAGATGTCTGAACATCAGACTCCAGTGTACTCCAAGGTGAGACAAGCTCAGCAGCTCTGTCTGAAGCTCAGCGCCTCTGCAGGGCACAATTAAATTCATTGAACAGAGAGAGGAAGAGACACTTGCTCAGAGTTACAGGTCACATCGCCCAGCAGGTGTGTGTGTACAGGAAAGAGCCTTTTCCACAAATTGAAAATGCCTGAAAAATCTTTGGAACTGGGATCTAGCATCCTGGTTTTGTTCTTTATGGCCCAATTTTTATTTTTATTTTCTATATGAAAGAAATATCTAAAGAGGAGGTGTGCTCAGGACCCTGTAGTTAGCCTGTGGCAACTAAACTCCAAAGGAAGACAACATTTAAGGGCCAGTCATCTTTAGGACTGCAATCATAAGCACCTGGCCTTTTCCATGAACCTTCAGTGCTGTACGTTCCTCTCTGGCAGCTTGGTACCTAAGGCATTTTCTGGATCTAGTCCTGTGGTCTTCCCTAAGGAGTCAGAGGCCAAATCAAATGTCAATTCTGTTATCAGATCCGCTGGTCTATGCTAACTGTCTGCAATTTTGGTGTGCAGTATCTTAGTTGATGGGAATTATCAATTCCACTTGGCTGAACATGGTCTGCAAATAGAAGAGGATTACATCATATCAATCCACATTTGTTGCCAGCTAAGGGCAGACACTATGGTTCTACTGACACAGAATAACTTGACTGGGAATCTGACCCCTACCAGTCAGTTTTCCAGCTAGGGTACAGGTATCATAGCACATTTGTGCTGAACTGGGAAGTCAGGAGGCTAAATGCAAGATGCTCTCGATTTGCACTGATGGGGAACATAGGAATGCCATTATTTCACATCAAATACATGATCTCTTTCCTAGGTATAAACCTTACAGAATGCATTCTTTTTTTGTCACAGTAACATGCTTTACAGAGGTATTTGCTGTACTTACCTAGATCTGTAAAATACTTTCATGCGTTCTGAGAAGGAAGATGCAATAGAAGTACGGAAAAAAGCCCTACAAATTTTAGCAAATACACTTAATGCCAACCTATTACACATCTGCTCACAGGGAAAACTGTGATTCCACCAGTACAGCAGTTTTATGTGTAGTTATTTTAAAATGAACTGTGGTCATTACTATGTGGATATATTTTGATACTAGTGCAAATGAGTTAAATGTGCACAGACATCATAAATGCACAATTCCAAAAGTGCATGCCTGTAAATCTAATGATTCTAATTATCGTCAGTATATCTGTGTTTTAGTTGTTGAGATTGCTTTAATCCTTAAAAAGAACAATATGAAGAATTAGATGTGCATTCTAAACCATAAGCTCGGTTTGCAATGAAATTGCATTTTTGTCTCTGCAGTCCAGCTGTCAGTAAATCAACTGTACAGTTAAGGGCTTCTCTTTTTTTTTTTGCTTTTAAAAGTGTATTAATGACAAAACAAGGCTCTTAAACTACTGCCTCTGGCATCAGTCGCTCAAACATAGCTGTATTGCACTTTTTAACAACCAAATTAATTCCACATGAAGAGAAAAAGTATTCACTCTCTTTCTTTTCCTTTTTCAAAATTTGCAGACGTCTTGCAGGAAATGGCTTGACATACATTCCTAAGGGAGCATTTGCTGGCCTTTTCAGTCTTAAAGTGCTGTAAGTAAACTGTGTGTTGTTTGATATATTTCTGATTTCCTAAATGCTCCAGGGAACTAATTAACCAGTGAAGTTTTGATCAAGTAAATTACCTATTTTGATCAGCTCATTTTGAACAATTCAACTGAAGTGAAGATACATATGAACATCATTAAATCTTTGTTTTTTCATATAGAAAATATCCTAAACACAAAGGTTGGAAAACATTAATGGCATTCTAAATACAACTTGCTCATCAAGTAGATGTCTCTGTACAATATCAAAGGTAAAAATTGGTTCAGTAATAGTTTCTTTAATTGTCTCAAAAGTTCTGTTTTCAAGTCTAAAACTTTTAGTGGGCTTTTCATGATCACACAAAACTGGAGATAAATTGCCTTTTCCTTTTCTTGAAAGCCGGGGGGAAACACCATTATTGTAGAACACCATGTAATTTAAAGTGCGGTTCGTATTTCATATCTTGTTCTTTGTGATGTAATTACTATAAGATAAATTATAAAAAATATGACAAAACCCTGTATTATTTGGTGTAGTAAGACAGTACATACGTTTACTAAAATTATTAGCAGGCCGTATCTCACAATATTTATACTAGAGGGGATCTTTGCCTATGTAAAGTTCACAGAAACTGTATTATTAGCAAGAACGCCAGCCTCCTAGGCAGCATCAAGCCAAGCCAGATGCTACTGTAAGAGTATACAAAGCTCTACTGACAAAACACCTAAGTGGGAAAGAAGTATGAAGAGTTTCCCACTCCATCTACTCTTAAGTTGGCCAGGTGTAGCTCTTGTTGGCTTAAGGAGATTTAGGCCTGCCAAAAATGATTTCATTTACAATGTCCCATCGAGTATGTCTCATTTTGAAGGCAGCATGTACTACTTCAGTTTTATCCACATAGAATGCTTTTATATATGTCCAAACAAGGATATTAGGCCATATTCAAAGGGAGGAAAAGATTATTTTGGAATGAAAAGTGATTTTTCAATCTTTGCAAGGTAAATGATGTGATATTTCAGAAAAGAGATTTGTCAGGTCATTGCTGGCAATCTTCCATTTGAGAAAATTGATTTCATTGGGAAAAATTCAGCATTTTTTACAGAGATAAAATTTTGTTCAAACCAAATCATCAACTCCTCATACAGTTAAAAGTTCTGTTTGCCATAGTAGCATTTTGCTGAGTAAGATTTCAAGAGTCAATCCTTCACAGCTTTATCAGAATAAGAAACTGAAGCACTTCAGAAGGAAAACAAAATCAGTACACGAGCATGACTGTTTCAGAATCACTGGAGGCAATTAGGAGCTCAAGCCCTATAGAAAGCAAATCGGATTTATTCTTTTAACTTCCTCAGCTGCTTTGAAAATCCTGCTCAAAGCTGATGTGTAGCTGTTAACAAAACTAATATGCTACAGGTATTTGTTTGCTTTGAAGGGAACTGGCATTTGACAGGGGCAGGGGAACGGAGTATTTGTGTAGCTTTCCTTTGTTTGTAATCTTGAAGTAGAACCAGTACAAAGGAGGTAAGCTTGGAAGAAAATTTAAAATAGAAAGAAATTATCTTTGCTGTGTTGATTCTGGTTTTTGTGCTACTCAAAATGTAGGATGCTGCAGAATAACCAGCTACGACAGGTTCCTACTGAAGCACTCCAGAACTTGCGCAGCCTGCAGTCTCTGTGAGTATACTTGATAAATCAACTTGTAACCTTGCATGAACAATAATATAAGATTACCTATTAATTACCTGTTAATATCACTTAATAATGTGCTGAATCAACTTTTTCTTTTAACTCTCTTTGAGCTGCTTTTCAAGAGAATTGTACTCTCAATTAAACATCAAAAGTGACTGATTTCATTCCAGTAATTTCATGACACCAGCAGCTTCTTTGCAGCATTATAAACTGGTTCACCGTCTGAGAAGACACTCCTTGCCCTGCAATGCTTTCTGTCTGTCAATAAGAATATGGTCCCTTAAGCACTGGTCTTTCCCATGGTTTCTTGTTAAGATTCTTTACAGGGAAAAAAAAAGAATCCCAAATGACTCCCTTGGTTTTTTTCATTTGGTGTAATTTTTTTCTTTTTAAGCAGTATGGAAAACACTATTAACTCATGAAACAGTGTACTAGAGGATGCTTAATTATATTCTGTGCTTCAGGCAGGTCTCCGTATTTATAGTTCTTGACTGTGCCGTGCTGACTCAGTCCACAAGCTTCAGTTTTAACAGAACTCCTGCCAGAACTGCTAGACCAGGAGTGAGGATTGGCTGCTTCGTGGTATGAATGAAATTATTTTGATGTGCTTCTGCCCCATAACATAAGGATAGTTGTACTAGATTTGCTAAAAGCTGACCTAGCCCAGTATCCAGTCTTCAACAGCAGATGCCAAAGGAAAACTAGAAGGTCAGGAAAAGAATATAATAATACTCCTTTGGTAAACTGTCCCAGCTGCCGGAGGTTTGCACTCAGGGACTCACTGAGCCTATTGTGGCTTCTTTGAATTTAATAGCTCTTGAAGAATTTTCTTCTGTGAGTTTGTACAATTGCTTTTGAGCCAATATAACACTCATGATTTTTTGCGGCAGCATATCTGCTGATCAGCTAGCCCTGTGTAGCATGGTGAAGTACCTTCTGTTATTTACTTGGAACTTCCCACCACATTTGATGTCCCCTAAGTGCAGCATCAGGAGGAAGTGGAAACAGCAGATCCTTATTGATGTAGGCCAGATTTTATAGACCTCTGTTGTATCTCCATTAGTCGTGTTTTTCAGACGTAGGCTGTTAAGTTTCTTATGTGGGAGCTATTCCTTTCCTCTGGGTCATCCTTGTCACTCTTACTGAACTTTTTCTCAGTTCTCATATATTTGATTTGAGATGAGTCAAGGAGGGATCAGACCTGCACAGCATGTTTAAAGTGTTTGCACACCATGGATATATAGAGGGGAATTATGGGTGCTTTTTTGTTCACTTTCCTCCTAACTCCCCAAACTTTGTTTTGCTTATTTTTTTTAACCTTTACTGAACACTGAGCTGTTATTTTCATACTTATTATAACTGCGGAACCTCTTTCTAGCATGTTAGTAGCTACTCAAGAGTTTGTCATGTAAAGTTTGAATTGCCTTTTCCATAAGTGCCTCACTTGACACCAGTCTATACCAAAATCCATCTGCCATGTTCTTGTTCAGTCAACTGAGTATCATGAGTTCCTTCTGCTGCACTTGCAGTTCATATTTTGCAACCACAAGGCCACTCTTGCTGTCTCAACGCAGGACGCAGTAAATAGAGTATGTTTCTGAATTATCCACAGAATTCCATTGTCACCTGATACAAAAAAAAAGACTAATCTTTCTAAAGTATCTACTGATTTGGAATGTGCAGCATAAAATACTTAGATAATTGAAGATAGGCAGGCAGGTTCTTTGGACAGAGGAAAATGTCAACTGACTCTGCTCTGTGCTTTAGTTGACCACCTTATATTTTCACAGAATTACTTTGAAATACAATTACTTTCCTAAAAAGTTCCAAGATCCAAATGTGGATTTCAGTCTGGAAGTTCAAATAACTATCACAAAAAATGTTGCTACAGTGTGCACTGATCACCAACGTCACTGGTAAAAGTCTAGCGATGACAAGGATAGAGTACGCATCCAGTCTGGTTAGAGTTAAGATGTATTGGTTGCGAAATGTACTGTGTTGAACATGCTCTTCTTTTTTTGTGTATAAAGAAGTTCCACCAGAAGGTTAACATCTTTTGCATATATTCAATTCAGCCAAAATCTGAAGAACAGAATTAATGAAATTAATTGATTTCCAGCAAAATTATGTCATCTGTGTATAACTTACCACTACACAGACACACATTATACTGTATTAGCTTCCAGGTTCTTATGTCCATCTTGAACAACATTTACCTCCTTAATATACAAAGCATTCGTTAAGGTTTCTAAAGGTGAAACAGCCCTAAGAATTAATTATCTTATAATTGTTACTTCGTCAGTACCTTTTTTCTTTATTGACCAGACACAGACTGAAATATCTCAGCCATATACTTTTGAGGTTACAGTTCTTTCCTTTGATCTTTGAAAAAGTCATGAGAAAATGCTGGTCTAGTGACTATATTAGATTTTCTTTCTGCTAAACAAACAAAAAAAATCTTGCTGAGATCACCTCACTCTATACACATTCTGGACCAAAACACGATAAGCCAAGCAAACAAGAGTTCCTTTGTTGCTCTGAAAGAGACTACAGTGTGCACAGTTGAATTTTCAGCACAGTTTCTAAACAAAATGACAGTCTCACTCAGGCTTTGTTGCAAATATTTTTTTTTCCTTGGGTGAAGAAGTTGAAGAAGTAAACCAAACATAGTTTGTGCAGTCTATGTAAAGGACCGATATTTTGTGACAGAATTAAAACGGAGAGTAGGAGTGGTCAGTGGAAACCTTTAGACAGCTGTGTAGCAGACCCAGGATGGAATGATACGGGTTTGTACAGAAAAGCTACTATCACCTGAAAGATGATCACCAGCAAAAGAGACCTCTCTGAGGAAAAGAAAACTATTATTCTTTTGTTTGCTTAAACGGGGTTGTGCCTGTCAGATAAAAGTGTGTGCAGATTCAATTTCTTGTTTCATACAGTCTAGAAAATTTCTGTTCACAAGGTGGTTCTTGCATTGGTTTCTGATTTACAATAGGAATTATTTCCTGAAACCTTTGAAATAGCAGAAGTCTTTTCAAGAGTGTAATTAAGAGGTAAAAACCTTCACAAAGGCAATTCCTATAAGATAGCAACTTCTTGTATTTATTATGTTTAACTATGCAGGTGGAATGATTTCTGGAAGCATCATTAACCCTTTGCTTTAGGTTAGTTTAGATGCGAAAAACTGAAAACAGGTGACAGGACTCAAATCTCTGCCTTTTGTGGTTTTACTCAAGAAAGGCAGTCATGTAGAGGGGCAAGCCATACTAACTGCCTTGCTACCTTAATCAATGTGAAGAGGATTATGTTAAAATCATTTTTATATAAGTATACATATATAATTGTGTGTGTATACATGCTCACACAAGTTTTCCATGTTCACTCATAATGCAAATTCATCACAAATTTTTGCACAAAAAGGTATTTCTGGATGATATGCTCTCCTTATTATCTAGTTCCAGGCTCAAAAATGACAGTATAGGTATCAATACTGATAGATACATCAATTGATGTTAAATGGCCTGTGGCACACAGAACAAGAACTGATGTATTGCAGGAATAAGCAAAAATTTCTTCCACTTTCTTGTCCAAGTTGTAATATTGCTGGCATGCGGAATGGCATGACAAGTTTGAGTCATAAATATTCATAAATTTCTTAAGGCTTGACCTACCTCTAGAACAGATCAGTCGTCTTCAGACAGCAGACATTATTCAATAAATACTATAAAATGAGAAATGGGCACAAAAAAATTAACCAAAAGACCCTAAGATTTGTGAATTTCATCTTCAACAGCAAAAATCTATGAGAAATATTTATACTGTTGCCTCAAAACAAACAAACAATATGGTTTTTTCTGTCACTGAAGCAAAAAATAAGATTAAGCAATATTAAAATCTTCTCCAATTTTATAAAAGACTTTGTAGTTCAATAGTCAACAACAGTGACGTGCTACTTTGATTAATAAATGAGTTCATCTCCCAGAGCTTGGACAATGATTGCATAGGGCTGCAGTACCCTTTGTGGCAGGAGGATTTAAGTAAGTAACCAGAACACGTTATTTTGAGATGTAGTTTTGATCTCCAAGTTTGGCAGAAAGATATCTTCAACTTACAATTTTCCTCTGAAATCTAGTGTGAATACAAATTATCTGGATTACAGTCCTAACAATTCAAATGGCATTTATTTCTGTCAATCCAAAAAGAGGAAAATACGTTTGCAGGTACCATGATTGAAAGGAACAAACACACAATCACTGACGTGTCACAACTTAGATCTTGGCAGCAGGGTTTGAAATATCACCTGAATCCTGTCTTCCCTGTTACTCACCTTGAGCAAATGTATTTCTTTAGAACCAACTACAAGCAGATGGTCTCTGGATTTTGTGTTTCCCACAGCACCAATATCTCCATTCTGCTTTTAAATCAACATCCTTTTAGTGATTTTGAATATACCTATATAGTCCAAAAACCTTTTACATATGTTAACACAAATTTTATATTACTAGCAACTGATAAGTTGCAGATCTCCATTTGTGAATGTTGCTAAATGAAGGAGGAAAGCATAATTGGAATTCCTGATGGAAAAGCAAAGCTTCTGCTATTCTTTTATTGGGACTATTGCAATACAACCCTTTGCAGGGAATACTACAGATGAAACTTCCCTCGCTGTTTATTTTCTTGTTTACACATCATTGTTAATGAGCAACTTTTAGTGCCGCGTTGTCAGACACAGAAATAGTCAAAATCAAGAACAGATCGGGTGCTATCTCACTGCCCATGCCAAACCAGTCATGAAGGACATTTAAAAGCAAGCATTATTTACTGTATCACCTGCTTTCATTCCTGTAAAATTTAAGAGGACTTTTACTTTAATAGTAGAAAATAGGGCAGAATACAACATTGCCTGTCTTCCAAAGCGCTGGAAACAGTTGATAGAGGGAAAAAATAAACTATCTTTTCTCCCTTGACAACCTGCAGAGTTAGAA